AAAAAAAAAAGAAATGTTCCCATTGAAAAGCATTGGGACATTACTATTGGCTATTTCAATTTGCAATAGCCAATAGTAAACTAGCATTGTTCCCATTCACTGCTGATGGACCTGAGAGGGCGTACTATTGTACCTGCAGAGGGCGGGTACAATAGTTTACTATTGGCTATTGCAAATTGAAATAGCCAATAGTAATGTCCCAATGCTTTTCAATGGGAACATTTCTTTTTTTTTTTCTATTCTGACATGCTCGTGTCAGAATAAAGAAAAAAAGACACAGCAGTGTTTCTCTCCTTGGCGGCCAGGAGCAGGAGACTCCCGGGGCGCCAGGGAGAGTTTGCTGTTTGGAGATCAGTGTCCCTGGTTAGCAGTTAACCAGGGACGCTGATCTCACTGCAAGTGGCTGGAGCCAGCCGTAAGATCACGGCTGGCTCCGCCCAGCTGTCAACAGCAGGCTGAGTGGCCGGCCAATGGCTAGCTTCGGCTTTCAGCGCGGCTCAGCCGAGCCCATGCCATGATCGGGAGCTGTACGGGCTATTGTGAATAGCCCGTACAGCACCCCTTTGGTTCTACTGAACCGAAGGGGTCCTGGGGCCGAAGCTAGCCGAAGGATCAGCCAAAGCTACGGCCAGATCCTCCGGCAGCTTCGTGAATAGACCCCTAATTAGGCACTTTCAGAACAAAGCAGGGCTATGGTGTGTACATAGGTAATGGGCTGTGCTAGGGAAGTGACTCTCCTGGAGTAGTTATATTTTTTAGCAAATTCAAAGAAGAAATGCTGCAAGTAAGCATCATACAAATCCTTCTACAAAATACAAATATGTAACTTATAATGTATACTTAGGGGTCTATTCACTAAGCTGCCAAAGGATCTAGCCGTAGCTTCAGCTGATCCTTCGGCTAGCTGCAGCCCCGGGACCCCTTCGGTTCAATAGAGCCGAAGGGCTGCTGTACAGGCTATTCACTATAGCCCGTACAGCTCCCGAAGTCGGCCGAGTGGCTCGGTCGAGCCGAAGGCATATGCCCCGGCTTGACTGAGCCAAGGTGAAAGCCAAAGCTGGCCGAGCGGCCGTCCATTGGCCGGCCGACAGCCTGCTTCTGAGAGCTGGGCAGAGCCAGCCATCATCTCACGGCTGGCTCCGGCCACTTTCAGAGAGATCAGCGTCCCTGGTTACCAGCTAACCAGGGACGCTGTCATTACACACTGAGAGCGGCCACTTCATGTTCTCAGTGTGTAATGACAGATGGCGTTCCTGGTTACCTGGTAACCAGAAACGCCATCTGTCATTCCTCCCCCGGACGTTCTGGGAGTCTAATAGGCTCCCGGCCGCCCGGGAGAGAAACACTTTCTCCCAGAAAGGTTCACTATGCTCAATCGAGCAGAGTAAACCTTTCCCTGCTAACTTTTTTCCCTGCCTTTCCCTGCTAACCTTTCCCTGCTAATTTTTTTCTTCTTCTGACATCGAGCCGTTGGCTGCCATCAGAAGAAAAAAAAAAAGAAATCGCCATAGGAATGCATAGCTAGATTCCTATTGGCTTTTTCAATTTGCAATAGCCAATAGCAAACTAGCTATTGAACCCGCCCACTGCTGCTGTCAATCAGCAAAGGGTGACCTGCAGTTCTCCTGGTGATTGACAGCAGCAGAGGGCGGGTGCAATAGCTAGTTTGCTATTGCAAAGGGAAATAGGCAATAGGAAGCTAGCTATGCATTCCTATGGTGTGTTCATTTAAAAACAAAAATTGACGGCAGCAGAACCGGCCAGCAAATAGAAAACAGTTGGGCGGAGCAAGCTGTCACTGCTAGCTCCACACAATCGTGTTCTAATCGTTTTTATTTTTTCTACTTTTGTAACTTTTTCTACTCTGCTCGGTCCCACAGATGGAACGAGCAGAACAGCTGAGCCGAATGCTGCTCAGCGGCATTCGGCTATTTACTCACTGCTGTTCGGCATCTATGAGAATAGACCGAACAGCAGCGAGTAGCCTGTCTGAGGTTTGGCTTAACCGATCCAGATGTTGGATCGGCAGAGTCGAGCTCCTTCTGCACTTCCGGTCGGCCGAACATGCTGAGCATGTTCGGCCGACACGAAGCCACCCGATGTACAACTGATTTCAGCCGATATACGGCAGGGATCAGCCGTACCAGCATGAAGTGAATAGCCGAACAGCGTTCGGCTCACTTCGCTTGGGGTCGGTTAGTCACTCGGCTGCCTACGGCAGCTTAGTGAATAGACCCCTTAATTTAAAAGACTCATTTGTTTTCATTTTTGTTTGTAGATAAGGGTAGGTTTAGAACATATGTTAGGCTTTAAATACTGTGAGGGCTATTCACTTAGGAGCCACAGATTAAGCCGAACCTTCGGCTAATCCTTCGGCTCGCTTCAACTGCGGGAGCCCTTCGGTTCAGTGGAACCGAAAGGCTGCTGTACGGGCTATTCACAATAGCGCGTACAGCAGCCGAAAGCAGCTGAAGGTCTCAGGAGAGCCGAACGTATGCTTCAGCTCGACTGAGTTTAACACACAGCCGAAGTGGGGAGAACAATCTGCCAAAGCAGACTGTTCTCTCCACAATATGTAAACAAATAAATAAACACAGTGTGGGGTCCCCCTCCCAAATGTTATAAATGTTAGGAGGGACCCCCCATTTAAAAATAAAAAAAATGCCCTGACCAATTCTAGCCTGTCTCCCCCCCTGATATAGGCCAATTCACTGTTTATTTTAATTGTTTGCGGCTGCTGTCTGAATACAAAGAAAAAAAACATCAGATAACCGGGGAAGCATTAGCTCCCTGTTTTCCGCTGATTCCCCTCCTATGTTTTTTTGCTATTATTTTGACAGCTGCCACAGGCTGCCATTCAGGGTATAGAAATAAAAAAACAACAAATAGCATAGGAATAAATAGCTAGGCTGCTATTGGCCATTTCAAATTGGAATAGCCAATAGTAGGCTGGCTATTGCACCTGCCTACTGCTGCTGTCAATCAGCAGAGGTGGACCTGATGGAGAACTTCAGGTCCACCTCTGCTGATTGACAGCAGCAGTAGGCGGTTGTAATAGCCATCCTACGATTGGCTATTCCAATTTGAAATGGCCAATAGCAGCCCAACTATTCATTCCTATGCTATTTGTTGTTTTTTTATTTCTTTACTCTGTCGGCAGCCTGCGGCAGCTGTCAAGATCATAGAAAAAAAAACATAGCAGGGGAATCAGCGGATAACAGGGAGCTAATGCTAATGCTGTGATCTGATATCACTGTGTTCTCAGTGTGTAATGACAGTTAGGCGTCCCCTGGTTACCAGGGGATGCTGAACTGTCATTACCAGGAATGTGCAATCAGAGGAGGCAGGTGAGGAAGGGGGCGGCATTTGGCTATTCACTCACTGCTGCTCGGCCCCTATGAGAATAGGCTGAACAGCAGCGAGTAGCCTGCCGGAGGTTCAGTTCAGCCAATCCAGATGTTGGATCGGCTGAGTTGAACTCCTTCTGCCCTTTGGGTTGGCCGAGCATGTTCGGCCGACCCGAAGCCAGCCGAATCAAGCCGATGTACGGCTGATTTCAGCTGATGTATGGCTGAAATCAGCTGTACAAGCCTGAAGTGAATAGCCTTTGGCAGCTTTGTGAATAACCCTCTGTGTGTTTTGTCAGCCTTTAAATGATGTCTGTCCCCCTCAGTGCAGATTTCACTTTTGTTCCCGTTTTGACACCCATAATCTGGACAGGAAGTGAAATTAAATTGTCCTCATAAGGACAAAGACGGCAGTAAAATCCTGATAAAAACTAGAAATCTTGTTCACTGTCTGAAAAAAATGTGTTTTTATTGGTTCTGTATCCCCACTGGGGCATTTTCCCTTACCTCCCCTTCTGTCTGAGATTGTTCTTTCCTGATCAAATAGAGAGGACAAAACAATTTTACAAATGGGAATACAAACAGCAAACAGGTTTTAACCCTTCCCCTCTCAATGCAAATTTTTTTTATAAACTAGAGCTGTGCTTTAATCGGCAAACATCTGACTTGGTAATAATGAGCATAAAGATTTTCACCTACCAGAATATACTTTTATATTTGCCCCCCTCCCCAAACAAAAAATAGAAGAAAAGACTATAAAAAACATGCGCTTAAGAGATAAGCTTGTTCTCTGACTAGACAGCATTACAGCAGAAGAGTTGTAAATTCCTTTTTATTAAACAATATGCTAATACACAAATTCAGCTATAACACAGATGTTCTCTTGTTCCACAAGAACAGATGATGATCTAAATAAGTAATCTATGTGTGTTTCTTCTGTCTAGAAGACAACTTGTGGGAAATGAAGCCAAATGTGACATCACTACTGGTACAGCCTGTAACTATTTCACTTTTGAGAAGACTGTTTTCTTTGACAGAAAGTACAGTGACAGGACAATGTCTTCCCATCAAAGTACCCGAAACAGGTAATGTGCATTTTCATGGAAAACATCATTTAAAAAAATAATTCATTTAAATTTCTAATTTTATATTTATATTTTATTACTTTTTTATGTTATTAAAAAAATTAAAAGGAGGGCTCATGTGTGGTGTGGATGATGCTGGGTGCGTTCTGAGCCGGCTCCACATCGCCTCAGTACACTCAGGCACATAACAAAGCCCATCTGCTGTATTGCTGCAGCCACCCAGATAATGCCACAATCCAGTGCCTGGCAGAAACCTCAGCGCAACAAATCTATTAAGGAAGCCCTGGCACACACTGCTTCCAAAATGTCAAAATGGCATCAGAATGCTATGACACAGGATACCCTACTTGCAACTTTTTTTTGTAATATAGACCCGACAATAAAACCAACTCTTTGCCCTTCTCAAGGCACTATGACCTGTAATGCTTCTACAATTGTTTGTGAATTTCAACATAATTTAGATTTTTTGCGCGGGACACTGCGGAAAGACTGTTCTCTTCTGTTACCATTTCTTCTATCCCAGACTCGCTCAAACAATTGCTAGATTACCCGATCATGGATTCTGAAGTTATGACTGCTATAAGAAATCTATTGATGAAGGGCATGGTGAAACAAACAGCATTATTTGAAGAATGGATTAAAGTTTGGAGGTTTGCTAAAATCCTTGCAATGTACAGTATATAGTTAATTTATCTGGGATTTTTTTTTAAACAAAAGTGGAGTTTTTTTTCCCATTATAAACATGTTTATTATTGACATGTTCATTGCAGTTGGGATTTGTGATTTAGCAGTGAGGCTGATTTACTAAAGAAAATATGCATACGCTATTGCATGGAGGCAACTGAAAACCCAGTTAAACAATTAGTTTATACAGCTAATTCACTAATAAGAATGTACGCAGGCTTAGTATAAGCCAAGTTCACCTAAGCTCACCAAAAACTGTCAGTGATACATCCCCCTGCCAGCCCAATCAACTGCACCCAGGGTATTCCTTACCACACAGCTACATGTAAAAAAGGGGCATAAAATACTCTGATCACAACTATTTGGGCTGGGAGGGGGATGCGTCATTTACAGTTTGGGGAGGTTCAAGCTAACTTGGGTGAAATCGGTTTGTGTCAAGCCCAGGCTTATCACTATTCACTAATACATGGGGTTTGCTAAGCAGCACATAATCCAGAATATGAATGTATACCAGTTAAAGTCAACCTGCCTCTATGTTAAACTCCAAATGTATAATAGTTAAAAGGACGGTACAAGTAAAAGAAGAAGTGTAGCCTTGCCCTATGTTGGATGGTGTGTTTTTCTCCCTTGAAAAACTTTGGGTGTTGCAGCTACCCAACACTTCTGGTTGTTGCAGATATCCTGCCCCCTGCTCTGTTCCATAGTTTCTCCTGCCAGCCACTACATCAATACAGGACACAGTGGTGATAGCAACTGGGTGGTGAAGACACTATGAGCCATAGGTAAAATGCTAACTCATGCTAACCAAAAGAAAACAAAAGAAATGTCGAATAGCAGCATCACTCAGAGCTCTGCAAGAGAGCAAAGATTTAACATACCTGCCGGAAAAGTAAATCTAAACCTTCAATTTTACCATCTACGTGTTACAACATATTCCTAAACCTTAAATAAACATCAAACAGCCTCACTTACTTCTGTAGCTGTCTCCACTGTGGAGTAATTCATCCTCAGAACTTGCAGAGGAAGCAGCTCAGGTTTACATTAATTTTGAATCCATTCACACTGGCACGCTATGTTAGATAGTCTATTCAAAATAGACCATCTGATAGGGGTGGAATTGATCAAAACTGGAACAAACAGAAACTGGAGCAGTTGTCCATGGCAACCAATCTCTTCCATTTGCTCAGGTAAGATTTGAAATGGAGCGAGAGAAGCTGATTAGTTGCAGTGCAAATTTGCTCCAGAGTTTCTCTGCTCCAGTTTTGATAACTTCCCCTCACTGTGCTGTACTGAGTTATATTGCACATGTGCTTTGGGAGGTGCTTTGGGGTGGCAAGGCATTTCAGCTCCCCAGTGCAATAGGGACCAGAAGTGCTGTAATGTATGTTAATACATTTGAGTAATACACATATTTACTAAGCATTAGCACAATTCAATGGATGTGACTGGGTGTTTTCTCCCTGTAGCTCAGTTCCTAATGCTAGCAGTGAATTGGTGGCCTGCCAGACTTCTAATCTCTAATGCAACTACAGAACAGGTGAACTGGAAGAGGGTTTAAGTGCTGCGATCACACTTGAATGGCTTCATACATTTCCTTTTTGTAAATCGTTTTTTATTAAATACGTTCTATATGCTAGCACTGCAAAATAACTGCCACGGGTGTTCAATATACAACACACATAGCAGGAATCTGTGCAGGATAATTTGGTAGCCAATATATTGAGTATTAGTAGCTTTCATATCATAAATAAAGAATACGTGCTAAAAAGTGAATTCTTAAGTTAATAAAGAGCAAGGCCTAGGGAGCCGTTTGTTCACAACCGGGGAAAAAATACCACCTGCTAAATTATGTGATTAAGTATTGTTTAATAATACAAATGGGATCCTGCCTCCTGCAGCCATCATGCAAACAATATTGCAAGTTTCATCCTATCTTTTTTAAATCTGGTCCAGAGGCACAGGTGAACAGACCTAATTACACAGGTTAACTGCAACCCATTGCAAAGAATAAAACTTCAGCTTACTTCATGCTGATTTACTAAACCGAAATGTGACTGATGTGAATCTAAGATAATGTACTTTGCACTGTTTCATTAAATATGTAGTGTAAGGTGCTTTTATATCTGTATGAAGAAATTGTGATGTCAGATATAGTTACTTTTTCAGGTGAAATCTGTAATTGTAGCTCCACATCCTTGTAAAACCCAATAACTACATAAGCCATTCAGCAGGTGTTTGTTTTTTGTTCACCAGTAATAGGTGCTGATATGCAAGAACTGTCCATTCTGCAGTTCTCAGCATTTTATCTTTATATAATCTGTTGTCATGCTGCTTGGACCAAGGTAAAAGTCTGTTTTTATATACCCACCACTATGCAGATATCAGAGAAGCAGAAGGGCTATTAATATTGTAGGACAAGCAAAACTCCTACACTAACATTCCAGCTAGCATTACTAGAATTAAAGCTATGGACGGTTCCTGCTCAGGCTTCCAGCATTCTTTGTATTTATTTATTTATATTTTTATTCTCAGCGGAGATCTGTCTTTATGTTCACTTTAATTTGATCTTGGCTCTCTAGCAGGAATACATCTGTAATGTTTCTACATCTCTGCCTGGGGGGCACTCAATCCCTAGATAAAACAGGTTTATTTTTGTGGAAAAAACAAATCAACAATATAATGATGTGAACGGGCAAGAGACAGTATGAAACTGTTTAGATTAGGTATGAAGAAAAGGTTGTTTAATTCTGAATTCCAATACTAACTACTGTGAGGTACACTGAATTAAAACATATATGGGTGTTTTTATATCTGCCTAAACTTGAAGTGTAATTCCACTTTTGCAGCCAAATTGAGATAACACCTACTTTATATTTGCCACAAGTTCCCATTCACATAGCATAACATAAGGATAATAAACGTGTTTAGAATAAACTAAAGTTTTTCCATGCTATGTAATGATTACGAGGGAACTGGGGAGTTAATGCTTACCGTTATTAACCCTGTATTTACTGTGTTGGCAGATCTCATTTTCTGTTGTAACCTAGATTTGAGCACTGTATGTCTTAACTACAGATGTCCATCCACTGCTACATTTTTGTAAGAATGATGACACAAAAAATATTGTCAGTACATTCGATAATACCATCAGAGATTTGACAAATGTTGTTCAAAGTTTTGTCTGCCTTTAGCATTTGATTTTAGAATGAATGGAGTTTCCTGAATGATTGAACACTGTACTACATTCATTGTTAGAATTTGTTCATTTGAGAAAAAAAATCCATTCTGTTCCTTCGATGCTTTCTGTCACTATGGTTGAAAACAATCATTGCTTTGACCCCATTACCTACTGGAAAATAAAACAAATGTTAAAAAACAACATCTTTCAAGTGTATTTTTACTGGTATATGGCCAGCTTACCCCTACGTTCACACGGGTGGCCAAGGAGCGGCAAAAACAGGCACCTGATTTGAATTTTTACCAACCCCTGACCACCCAACTACAGTGTAATATGTTGGCCACTCAAGACTGCAGTGCTACATTTTGTGGTGCAGCAATTTTAACTCAGCATGTTGACAGGTGGCACTGCCATCTGCCAAATGCTAAGCACAAGGTTGCAGCATGGTTCTTCAATTTGTCTCCTTGGGATGAAAAAACAAAAAACAGGCCTTCTAAATGCCTGCACACTGCTGCTGCTCAGTTACCCTCTGAATAGTGAAGACCATGTTTTGCTTTTCAGAGGGGCAGCAAAGCCTTCTGCTGCCCCTCTGCAGGGCTTGTGTTCTGAATTGTATGTTAATGAGAGGAAACTAAATCTGTCCCCCCTCCACTTGTACTTTCAAGTTAGCCTGAAGTTTGCTCCAAAAAAAGAACTAGAAAGATAAGAAATAGTTTAAAAATAAATATATGGAGGTGTGAGCCATTTTTAGCTAAGAAATGTTTCAGACCTTCTGTATTGCTATGTACAGGTCAGTCATTTTAGGTTTTCTTTCCATGATTTTTCAGCATGCCTCCAATCTAATTGTTTGCTATGAGCAGTATTGACAGTTTGAGACAGAGTGCACATTTACAAATTATTCGCAGTGCAAACTGTATGAGGAAATTCCCCCATAACAATATTTCCTATATGATATCACCAAGTCTTCTACAATTCTGCAATCCATTTAATAAATAGTTTTTAAGCACAATAAAAACAATGTTCTGCAATTTACCTGTCAGAACGATTGCTTGTATTTTTCTTTTGATACATTATTTATTCTTGTATGTGCAGAAACTGCATTTATCATAAACAAATAAAAACTGAGCTTCTATGTATC